AGGCCAATGCTGTTCTTCTAACTATACCATGACACCTACCATGAGACCTGCCTGCTTAAGCAAACAGGAGGGCACTTGTAGAGGGGAGGTTGAGGGCGGAATTCTGGAGGGAGCAAGCAGGAGGTAAAGCTCCGGCAACCGAGCGCGAGGGAAAGTGTCCGGCGAATGAGATGGGTTGGATCCGGCGCTTCGCATGGCCACTCGCTCGACTCTATGTCTCGCCCCTCTCTACTCTGAGACCAGGTTGCTTGACATGGTTGGTGCCGAAGCAACCTGGACACGAGCGGGGGCGGGGAGTAAAGGGGCTATTTTTTCGACATGAGCTTGATACCCCAACAAAGCACTGTCTTTCTTCTGTGATATTTCCTTCTTCGCTTGATTCTAGAGCATCTTCCGGTTTAGGCACCGCTCCTCCAATGATCGTAGTACCAAGAACTTCTTGGCGAGCTCTAATATGATCTGATTTATAAGTAAGCATCTCTTGTAAAATATGAGAAACACCTACTATACTACTAGCAATATAAAAGGATGGTTGGGATAATATCCCTCCGTGCCATTGACGTGCCCGACCAGAAAGGCGGACCCAAACCATGCCCATGGCAATCCTACTGCGAGAGCTGCTTGTTTAGCAGCTGAAGCAAGCTCGTCTCACGGTTACTGTTAGCCGATGCAGGAATGACGAGCATCGACAGTGGGATGTTTTTCCCCTCCTACTACGAGAGGTGCCGACGGAAGTAAGGTGAGTGTAAAGGGGGTAAATTCTACGCCTTACGTATTCTTTTAAGCATTACGATTTTAAGTATTTTAGCAAAGTGGTTACCGTTGCTTGAGTATGTTTGTGGTTGATTATATGTGCTTTGTTTGAGCTATGTTTGAAGTGAATGTGTTTTATTTAATTACCTTAAAGCTTTACGTTATGAGTGATTGTTAAAGTTTAATAAACAAGTTCTTTTTAAGAAGTGTTTCACCTTCAAGAAGGTGAAATCATTTTAAGAGTTTTTAGTCACTAGCGCCAGTCCGTTGCCATTTGAGATTTTGAGATAGAGCAGCAGTTATGCTCTTAAGACTTTTAAGATGAGCAGCAGTTATGCTCTTGAGATATTTTAAGATGAGCAGCAGTTATGCTCTTGAGTAACAGTAACTCCCATACATATTTGAGCTTTAAGAATGGAGAGTAACAGTAACTCCCATACAGTTTTAAGAGTTAAGCTTTTTAATAGTGGAAGTACAAAACAACTTCCACTCTGTTAAGTAAAGTGATCAAGTATTAATAAGATGTTAAACGTAAGGGCGTAGACTGGCCCCATCTCACTCACCACTTTGAAGAGCTATAAGAGGAGCCAGAGGAGCAGTGAGTTCGAGGGCAGCCAGTTAGAGGAGGGCAGTATAAGCGTCACGGAGGATGCTTAGTCAAGGTTTTCAGTAGCAACAACATTAGAGATTATTAGTTATTTACATTTATGATTATGAGTACAGACTGGAGATCATTTTGAGACTTTTAGTATTGAGATTGCCCGTGTGTTAGGGCGTTGCCTTGAACTACAAGAGTGTGTTCTCAGTATTTTATTTTTTTGAAAATTTTCCCGCTGCTTTTAGCGTTTATGGTTGTTGAGTATTTTCAATTTAATGAGGGTATTTTGGTAAAAGTAGTACCCGGCCGGGTTAGGGTGTTTCAATACACACATGCTTATGCTAAGCATGCTAGTTTGGGTAAGTCTAGACAAGGGAGCATGCCACTCACCATGAAGAATTGAGTTGGAGGCATGTTCAATAAGACACAACACATCCAAGCCACCCATGGCTTACATAAGTATAGGAGCATGGCCAAGAGCAGACATGGGGGAAGTCCCTGTCTATGAGTAGTGAGTATTTGTCCCAAACCACAAAGGGTGGACAAGGAGGCATGTATAAGAAGTCACCAACTAAACATGGTGGCTTAAACTACCACGGATGGTTGTGTGCTAAGTATGCAAGCCAACAAGGTTTAGATATTGAAAGACAAAGTCAAGCATACCATATACGCGGCAATCGACTTGTCAAGTCTAGGCACCCAAGTCTTCAACATGAGAAGAGTACACATATGTTAACTTGGAGGCAACCAAGACAAAGAAAAACTCATTGTGATCTTGACACGTCAAGTAAGGTGGCCAAGGAAAAACAGTATGAGATCCCATGCAAGGCCACCAAGACAAGACATGTCGACCATGTACCAACCACTCGTAAGATGAAAAGTTCAAACCAATATATGGAGAGTCATTTCCCATGGAAGGAAAGAGTCATGTGGTTTATGGATGGCTCGCCTGGTTTGATCCATGGACTGGGCAATGATTCTACAACTTTAGCGCATTGGTTGTTGCCAAAGGCTATGGAGAGCAATGACGTGTGTCATTTGTTGCCATATAAAATAAATAAATTTATATAATGTACTTATTATATATTATTTATATAAAAAAATTGTAGCCAACTGTGGCTAAAAGAAAAGATAGAGAGAAAATATCAAAGTGAAAATATTGAGTCAGAGTTGTTAGACTTCGATATAAAAATCTTGCCACCAAGTCGTTGTGATGGGTTGACATGTCGAGTCATACATCAGGCCATGCCAAACTATGTTGTCTTTTCCCGAGTAGCTACGACCTGGGGGGCATGATGACTTGAAACGTGGTAGTAGAGGAGTGGTGACCATGATGTCTCTAGCAAGATAAAAATGAACATTATTTTTCTAAGTAAAAAAGTAGACGGTTTGAGTTGTCGTGAGGGAGCTGCTTAGTCTTGTGACAAGGCAAGATGAGTCGCTCCATGTTAAAATTTGTGCAAAAAAATTCTAAGTTACTTGCTCAACCATGTGGCCAACTACTAGATGGCGACAAGAGTTTTGAGTCAAATTCAAGAGGGTTTGAGTGAGAGATGACAGTTTTTCTTTATTGAAAGCCAATATTTGGCAAAGAGATGGAACAAGTTTTGACAACGAGTTACATCCTGCCATGTTGAATTGATGTGGTAGCAAAATTTTGGCTAAGGCATGGAACAAGTTTTGACGACGAGTTCCACGCGATCATGTTGGCTTGATCAATGAAGACAAAATTTTGGATAAGGCATGGGACAAGCTTTGACGCGAGTTCCATCCGACCGTGTTGGCTTGATCATTGTAAGCCAAATTTTTTACTAAGCTAAACATACATACGTGATTTGAGTAGTCAGTTTGCTGTCTAGCATGGTGGTGTCAACTATTTAGTCCATAATTCTTATGCACTAAGTAATAGGGGGCATTTGTTTACGCCCAAAAAATAACCTTGTACCACATTGATTATTTACAAGCCTCGTCGTGAGTTTGGTAAACCTCGGTGGTGGCGAGATCTAGACCACGCTCGTCGCGAGTCTACTATGTCATATTCGTCGCGAGTCAGTGATTCGGGTCCAATTGTAGACATTTTACCCCCGAATTTCTTGATAATTTGGCTTTGCATTTCATCGTCCCTCGAAATATTTCACGCTAGGTTGTGCTTGTTTTGATACATTTCAGGTCCTATCACGTGTGGAAGGGTCGAGGACGAGTTTTGGGACGATTGGAGGTCGAAAAGCGCAAAAAACCGAAGAAAAGTCCAAAGACCGTGACAATTGCCCCGTGACCGTGAACCACGAAGCGTCTAGAGGTTACTGACGCCAAGGCAGTTCACGGTCTCTAAGACCGTGAACTCGAACCATGGACCGTGAACCCCTGAAGTGAAGTGGCGCATTTTGATTCAAGCATTGCAGTTGATAGGGCAAAAGCGTAATTCTTCAATTCCTATCTCGTAGTAGACCGGAAGTCCATGTATCGTCTGTCAGGGACTGGTACAACCTTAATTTCCATCAATTTTATGGAGTAAACTATAAGTGAAAATAGTTTAATGAGACTAATTTATAAAAGAAAATTAAACTAAACAAATTATGTAAAATGAAAACCGTCGGGAGAAATTCAATGAAGAAAGCTTTGGGAGATACACAGGGACTCGCTACCTATAATATCCAAATTAATTCACATATTCTAATCAGTTTAATCCAACTCTCTAGAGCCAGCATATCACGAATGTGCTAGCTATCCCTGTCGGGAATTACTACGTACTAAACAATTAATTCAAATCCTACTGTCGTAGCTCAATGAATTAATTGTTTGGCTTGAAGACCAATATCCCAATCACGACCGCATAGCACCTTACTTAATTAACTGTCGCTTCGATAAGATACTATGTCACATGAAATAGGTTCAGTTATTAGTGTTTCACTGTCGCTAATAACCTAATTAACTACAAATCGATGTGTTGGTGGTCAGTCAACACAAAGCATTAAACAATTCCATGCAATAGAGATTGAAAGAAAAGAAATATAAATCAATCCATCAAGTCTATAAATAGCTACATCATGTAGTGTTTCCCCCACAAATTGGAGTTTAGTTCATGACAAAAATAAAACATAAAATCATGTTCTTAATCATCATGATGCTAACGAAAGGATAAGGAACAAAAATACTCAGAAATTTCCAAACGATGCTCGTCAATTACTTCTCCCCTGGCAGCTCGTGATTATTCAGACCGCTCCGCCTCTCTCGTTGCTACGCTGCTCTGGTCGCTCCGCTCTGCTGCCTGCTGCTCCGATAAAACTTCCGCCAAAAGAATTATGTTCCTCCTCTCCGCAGCCTTTTTTCTCCAGAATTGTCCCCGGTCCAAGTTTATATATTGTGCTAAAGGACAAAGAAGATGGGAACTTTAATTCCCAAGGACCCTCCTTCGAATTCCCTCCAAAGAATCCTCTCCACCTTAGCTCTCCTCTAATTTCCCCGTTCAAAAAATATATATGTTGCCTCCGGTCGAATATTTGTCCCGGTCGGTCCAACTTCAATTCCTCCATCAAAGACAAACGAGTTGGGCCTCCAAAATAAGTCCACCTCCAAGTTAATTCCTTTTAATTCCCGGCCCAACTCCAATTCTTCTTCTTTTATACATTCTACCTTTTCTTAGGAAGCAATGAGTTCTCTCAACAGCCTCTCTGCCGACAATGACGCTGCCGCTCGGCCCCCGGATCCTGGAGGCTCTTTCAAGGATCGGCTTCTTGGCCGCCGTGAGAATCCCCCAGCTTTTTCAACCGAGTTCCAGTTGGATAAATCTGTATTAGAGCAAGTCCACATCGTTTTTGAGGATGGTGATAAACTTCGACCAATGCTGCAAGTTTCTGAAAAACTTCAGACAGATGGTTGCCTGGAGTGGAAGAATGCTCTTATTGTGAAGCCATATGGAGGTTCGACTAGCCACTACTTGTTGGTCAACCGACTACATAGTATGTGGAGACCGGTGGGTGGCATGGAGATCATAGCATTGGGTAATGGGTACTCCGCTGTGAAATTTGATGATCCTGAAGATCTGACGAGAGTCCTGGCGGGAGGTCCTTATGTCGTAGGCGGCAACTTCCTGGCCATTCAGATGTGGGTGCCTGGCTTCGATCCATTCTCAGCTCGTGTTACCACTCTGCTAACATGGGTTCGTTTTGCTCAATTTCCAATGGAATTCTATAGAGATGAAATACTGTATACACTAGCATGCTGCGTAGGTAAGCCAGTGCGCATCGATCGTCAAACAGCATTGGCTATTACAGGTCGTTTTGCGAGAATTTGCGTGGAAGTCAACCTTGAAGAGCCTCTCGTTCCAAAAGTTTGGGTAGCGAATGCCTGGAGACGAGTTGTATACGAAGGACTTCCTTTGATATGTTCCGAATGTGGTCGAGCTGGACATACGGCCGTCAACTGCAACTTCTTGAAGCTACCCATGGATGCCATGAACACTGGTTCACAAACACTACCGCAAATCCCCTCTCCGCCGGCAGAGGTGGCAGGCAACTCAAGCCATCACATCTCTCCAGCGGCAGCTTCGACCTCTTTCTTTGGGGATTGGATGGTGGCGACCAAGCGCAGACCGCGGCCCACCCGAGCGGAGAAATCAACGGACAAAGGAAACAATCGTGGCGGTCGTCAACAGGGAGCTCAAGGCCAGAGGACGGAAAGTGATTCAAATCCTTTTTCACCACTTGCTGCGCAATCCCGTATCCAGCAATCTACACGTACCTCCATGATTTTATCTGAGAAGAAAAAGTCAACCGGAAATCCACCCCCTCGTCCATCCATAGTGATGAACCTGAACGAGAAGTCCGATAAGCAGTACACGTCTCCTCAGTCACCGATGAACTCCGACAAGGTGGGGGCATCAGTTGCAAAGAAATCGCCGCAACCGGAGAAACCCCTTGCCCCTCCGGCGAAAGAGTCCCACGTCTCTGTTCTTCCCGGCAGCCAGGCTGTTGGCGGTGCATTAAGTACGTGTATTATGGACACCCATTCCCCACGAGATAAGTCGAATCCACCCTCAATTGTCAGCCCTGTCGCAGTTTCATCAATGCCGCATTCAATGGGGATCGCCTCTCCAAGTGAGATCCTACAGACTTCTACGACCATCCCTAGTGAAATTGAGCCAACCCAACAGGCTGACGAAATGGAAATTCGAGTACCTGCCGAAGAGCCCGGGAGTTGGGCTTTGTCAAATCAAGCCCACTCGGAAACTTCAGTATCCGCTTCTAGGCCAGCAGGAGAGTCCCAGGTGCGAGACCGAAGTCGTAGCCCTCGTCGAGGCTACAGCACCAAAGCCTAAGCGAAGTTGCCTTGACGCAGCTTAGGGACTGAATTGTTTTGATTCATTAATTATGGAGTTAAATATATGTGTATGGAATATTAGAGGAGCAGGTAGCAAGAAAGCAAGGAATTTGGTCAAAGAATTGAAGCTTCAACATCGTCTCCACTGTTTGGTGCTCCTCGAACCACAATTGAGCGGAGACAATGCCACCAAAGTAATCCAACAATTCCCCTTCACAAAATCTTGCATCTCAGAAGCGAGTGGGAGATCGGGAGGTATTTGGGTGTTGTGGGATGAACAAAATATCACGATTTCTCCTCTTTCAGTCCACCGGTTCGCTGTTCACTTGCTCGTCGAAGCGTCGGGAGTGCCGCCCTGGGTATTCACAGCAGTCTATGCTAGTCCGCTACCCCCGGAGAGACGACAACTCTGGACAGAACTAGCTTCCTTCTCCGACGATTTAGATCTCCCATGGCTTCTCATGGGCGATTTCAACGAAACATCATCGCCAACGGAAAGACTTGGAGGTTCCCCGAACGCTCCCAGGGGGCCATTTCCTCTTTCAAGAGACATCAATAACTGCGGACTAGTTGATTTGGGCTATTCCGGCCCTAAATACACATGGTTGCGCCGTGAATCTCGTTTCCAGATTCTCCAGAAACGCCTTGATCGTGGATTATGCAACTCCGAATGGCGTCTCATATTCCCCGAAGCATCAATTTCTCATCTCCCACGGTTAAAATCCGATCATTGTCCCCTTTTACTCAAATCTCAAGGCACAATTCCAGCTCCTAGGAGTAAACCTTTCAGATTTGAGCCTATGTGGATTTTGCATCCAGAGTACGATTCAGTCGTGAGATCAGCCACAGAACCAGCTAGTGGTGATATTCTTTCAATGCTATCTGACATCCAACATTTTTCTCTTGAATGGAATAGGGAGACATTTGGTAACATTTTTCGCAGGAAACGTCATCTACTTGCCAGATTGAAGGGGATCGAACTCGAACTAGCTAATCACCCGACAGAAATGGCTTGGCGATTGCAATCATCCCTAAGCGAAGAGTATGCTGCACTACTTTCTCAAGAAGAAGTATTCTGGCATTCTAAATCTCGAGTTCAATGGATTCGAGAAGGAGATCGGTGTACCAAATTCTTCCATGTCTCGACAAAGATTCGACGCAAACGCAACAAGATTGAAAGTCTGAAGGGAGCAGACGGGGTGTGGCGAGAAACTCCTGAGGCAGTGACGGAGGAAGTACTGGCATTCTTCAAACAACTTTTCTCAGCTGCTTCAGGTATTCGTCCTCAAATGCAGCTGGTGCCCCATCCAGTGCTCACTGAAGAAATGCAACACAAATTAAAAGCCCCAATCTTAGAAAGTGAGATTTGGACATCGGTCTCTTCTATGAAATCATCATCAGCTCCGGGGCCTGATGGCTATTCACCCTTATTCTACAAACAATATTGGCATCATCTGAAAGGCCCAACCACAGATTTCATCCAGAAAGCATTCCTTTCAAGCTCGTTCGACCCGATTGCAGCACAAGCTTTCTTGGTTCTAATCCCCAAAGTTGACAACCCGGAGATGGTAACACATTTTCGCCCTATTTCTCTATGTAATGTATTGTTGAAAATAATGTCCAAAGTTCTAGTGAATCGGTTGCGACCTTTCCTAGACCATCTTATTGGCCCATGCCAGAGCAGTTTTCTCCCAGGACGTTCAACTCAGGATAACATCACGGTGGCACAAGAAGTGATCCATTCGATGAAGAAAAGGACAGGAAGGAATCTTGCAATGGCAGTTAAGGTCGACCTTGAGAAAGCCTATGATCGAATTGATTGGGATTTCTTGGAAGAGACATTGAAGTTTTTTGCATTCCCTAATGCTTGGGTGAGTCTTATCATGTTTTATCTCAGGAACACCCAAACTTCCATCCTGATTAATGGGGAACCGTCACCTTTCTTCTCTCCTACAAGGGGGCTTCGCCAAGGTGATCCACTGTCCCCGTATCTCTTTACACTATGCATGGAAAGACTCTCTTTGATGATACACTCCAAAGTAGAAGAAGGCAAATGGAAAGCCGTCAAGGTCAGCAGGTCTGGTCCTTTGATATCCCACCTCATATTTGCTGATGACCTCTTCCTATTTGCCAAAGCTACTCCTAGACAAGCTTCTGTGCTAGCAGGTACACTTGATTCCTTCTGCTCATCATCGGGACAAAAAATCAATTTGCACAAATCAGCATTGTTCTTCTCCAAGGCTGTGGCCCCACAACTTAAACAGAATCTTTCAGCTACATTGGGGATTCCAGTTATGTCAGATTTGGGGAGATATCTTGGTGTTCCCATCATTCATGGAAGAGTAGTGAAGTCAACGTATTTTTTCTTATTGGAGAAAGTGCAGGCTAGACTGGCAGGATGGAAAACCAAATTGTTGAGCTATGTAGGGAGGGAAACTTTGGTCAACTCAACTATGACAGCTTCACCGGTGCACGTTATGCAAACTGCATGGTTACCATCTTCCATTTGTAATAGATTGGACCAACTCAGCCGAGATTTTCTATGGGGTTCGTCTGATGAAAGGAGAGGGATGCCACTAGTCCGTTGGGACACAATTACTCTACCGAAGAAGTCAGGAGGCTTGGCGATTCGTAAAGCTCGACTCAATAATATCGCATTATTGGGTAAGCTCGTATGGTCCTTATTCACTCAATCACACAAACTATGGACACAAGTACTTTTGGAGAAATATGGGAAAGTGACAGTGGCTACTCCATCTAGCTCAGCTTCACCCTTGTGGCGGGGCATATGTAAAGCATTTCAATTTCTCCATTCAGGCTTTCGTTGGCGGGTAGGTGATGGTAAACAAATTAATGCTCTCGAAGATAATTGGTTATCTACTGGACCTATTCGCCTACTTCCGTTGGTCGATCCACTGCCCGAATTTACAGTGAAAGTGGCCGACTTTATCACCTATCCTGGTATGTGGAATTTACAAAAATTATCTTCCATGCTTCCACATCAAATCACCCAAATCATTTCCCAAATTCCTCTCCCAATGGATGTTGATGCTTCTGATAAACTAATATGGGGAGAAACTAGTGATGGGATTTATTCTCCCAAATCAGCATACTGGTGGCTACTGGGTAAATATGGTGGGCTAAGTTTTGTGTCAAGCAACGACTGGAAGTGGATTTGGAAGCTTCCGGGACCACGCCGTATTTCCTTCTTTGTGTGGCTCCTCTATCATGACAGCATCAAAGCCATGGCATTTCTTCATCATCGTCACGTTCCTGTTTCCTCTAGCTGTTGTCGGTGTATTGATCTTTCCGAGACACCACTTCATGCTATTCGAGATTGTCAGTTCGCCAAAAGAAGATGGACAAACCTGATCTCGTCTGCCCACACTGACTTCTTTGCTCATGACTTGCAGGAATGGTTACAAACTATTCTAGTTCGTGACAGCCAACTAATCGTTCAAATGCTGCCACTACGTTGTTGGGCACTTGCAACCATATGGCATATTTGGAAAGAAAGGAATGCATTTGTCCATACAGGAGAAGTGTGGTCACGTGAACACTTTTGGCAGCTAACTCACAGGTGTGCCTTGGAGATTCATGCTGCTAGTCCACAGGTGCCTCCTACCTTACCTCAACGCCGACAAGTGTCATGGAAATGCCCCTCTGATGGTTGGATCAAACTCAATGTAGATGGCAGTAAGCGAAATGAACCTCTATCCTCAGCGATTGGTGGAGTGATAAGGGACTCGTCGGGTGAGTGGATTGTGGGCTTCTCAAACAAAGCGGGACAAAGTTCTGTGCTAGAGGCAGAACTTAGAGCAATCAGAGATGGTCTAAGCTTAGCTTGGAGCTTGGGATTTCGAAGGGTAGAGATCAACTCCGACTCAAAAACGGCGGTCGCCTTGCTCAATTCGGCTGATTTCCTCTTTCACCCACTGGGAATTATTCTCAATGATTGTTATTCGCTTCTTCACCGAAATTGGGATTGCCATCTTTACCATTGTCTGAGAGAAGCGAACCAAGTTGCCGACTTCATGGCAGATGCCGGTCATGATTGTATACAAGGAGAAAAGTTATGGCCAACAACACCTATTGCTATTGCTTCAATTGTAGATTCTGATAGAAGAGGTGTTATGTATTCTCGAGACTAAGTAATCGTTGTACTTTAATTTTCTATTGTACCAAAAAAAAAAAAAAACCTTTTCTTAGTCCACTAAAGGACACTGGACTTGGTCCATTAGAATACACCCATGGCAATTTATGTACTCTCTTTGATTAGTCTCAAACGCCACTTTCCCTTCATCCAATTGGATTGTGTCAAGAATTTGGTTTCAATTGGTTCAGTTATCGACTTATCTGTGTTCGACTTGTTTGGAACTTGTCCTTTTATCATTTATTGTTTCTTCATCTAAAATATATCAACATTCTAGCACAAGGTGGTAATGGCTTTACAACCATTCCATAGTCAATTGGCCCTCAAACAAGCATTATATGTTTCAAACATATCATGAAATATTCACATTAAGCACACAAAATCAATATTTTTTCGACAATTATCACAACCCCACACTCAATACTTGCTTGTCCCTAAGCAACGACTCATACAAGAGACCGATAATTGGAGGAAACACAACACGGACTAGGGAGACACGACCTTGCTCAAAACACACACCCACGACACACAAAACATAATATTTTCCTTATACTATTGCGGTAATCAGCAGTTTCTTTCTCGTGAGGAAAATCTGGCTTACTCACATATATCATAAGCAACCAACTAAGCACAAGAGTCTCAACAACTTATGGGGAAGCTTTTAGCAAATTTGGTTTTAACTTTAAGCACATCACTACCTTTCTTGACAAGGAGAGTCTTTCTCTCTTTCTGATTTTGCTTGCCGAGTAGTCGTATTTAGTACAAGTGGGATTTGTTTCTTACTAGCGGTGACCGAGCAAGAGCAATTTCTGCTTCTTAGCACCCTTGTAAGGGCTTCTTCCAAC